CACCTTGAGACTGAAAATGTAACGTATGACTGACTATAAAATATTCCAAAGGTACCCTATTTTTGCTGGTGAAATTTCTAGTAGTACATTTCCATCTTCTCTTCACACTATTCTAATTTCCACTTTAGGGCCGCCTAGGTTTCTAGGCGGCAGCCCAGCCTCCTAAGTGGTAGGACCCTTGGCTGCCTGGGCAGCTGCATCCAACTTTTTAAACACTGATTGTAGTTGCTAATTGTATCCTAGTTACTTATATGTGTTACTAGTGTCTGTATGTGGAAATCTAATGAGTTTCTGACATTCTTTATTAACTGGTAGCTGGCAAGGGTTTTTAACATGGATGACGGAATTGCCATATAGATGGTACTTAGCTAGTTTTACCATCCCATGAAATGTTGCGTATGATTAATTATAGCTATTCTCCAATTAATTGGTTCCAATTTCTACACAATACAGTGTTAAACATAATAATCTGAGTGAAATGCACATTTAGAAACCAATAATATGCAGTTCACAAACTCAATAAATATTCATACCATATCTTATCCTCTATAAGCTTTGAAACGCCCCTCTGTGTCTTTCAAACACACTTGTCGTGAGGCTTGCCTCATCCAAAGTGGGGCAGCAAGCCGAATTTTGTCTTTAGTCATTCAGCTGTCTTAGCATTGTTTATTCGTGGCTTTTTTCTGTTTGCTTGTAAGAGCACCCGAAATGTGTGGCACAAGTATTTGATGTCATGTACACTTTGAATTGCTATACTTAATCCGAAGTGTCAATTTCTTCAAAAAGATAAGCTTTGAAATTCATCATGGTGATGAAATCAGCTGATACATTGAACTTGTCTAATGTATGCATCATATATGTACCTTATAAGAAAAAGAAAATGTAACTTTATTCATTGGCCATTTTGCATAGTACTTGAATTTTAGTAAATCATCACTTGTTAGGTGGGATGGCAGTTTTTTGAAATTGAGGCTTTCACAAAGAGTTTAAATGATGATTGTATTGACTGTGATGTGGTGTACCAACATGGTGGACAGTGGATACTGCTTTCTTTCGCTCTGTGTCTGTGCGGGTGTTTTATGTGTGTGTGTGTGTGTATTTGCTGACCAGAATTTACAAGTCTTAAACCTTAAAATATTTTTCCTCTGTCGACATGAACTGCTGATTAAAAGCCAAAAGAATTTTGCATGTTAAACTCTGACTTTGGTCTGTTGGCAGCTAAATGTGAATCAGGCGACTAGGGATTATCTCGAACGTTACGTCGAGAAGAAAATTGAGAGGGAGAAACAAACGAAGGAAGCTGGAAATGGAAATGCTGCAAAAGAGGAAGAGACTGCGCCTGGTGTTGAGAAGAACGATGAGCAGAAAACTTTGTCGGAAGAGCTAAACAAGGAAACTGATGAATCAAATGACAAAGCTAATAAGCAAGACACTGCCAACTTTGGTATTGTGACAGATGAGGATCGTGAAGGTGACAAGGATGCTCTCGAGAAGCTCGCAAATATGATGGAGGAGAGGTCCAAGACCAGACCCCTCCCCCCTCCACCCATTCCAGCTCCTGGAGATCCTTCTGGCAAGTCAAATTCCGAAGTGCCCACGAGGTCCCGGGATGGGGATTCTGATGTAGATATTGTGAAAAGTGGTGAGTTCTCTGAAAATTGAAAGGAAAAATTCCTTTTCTGGTGTACCCTTTGGTAAATATTATTTTCTTTAATAACTTTTTCTACCTATCAAAAAGAAAATTCTTTCGGCTTGATGACTCGAATATTCATATTTCAGGATGGTTTATCCTGGGTTGCATTAACTCTATGTTTAACATCATATTCGAGCAGAAAATCATTCGAATCTTTAACTTTGAAATGTTTCTTCATTTGGTTGTCAGTTGAGTTTGAAAGATTGGTTATGGTAGAAATATAATTATGTTTGGGTTTTCAACTATATATGAAAACTTAAAGCTTGAAGGAAATTGGGCATTTGAAGTTCTACTGGGAATTTAATCTAATGGGTTTTCTGAACTTTAGAAAGGAAAAGTTGCTGAAATTTGGGTTTTCAACTATTTTTGAAATGGGGGCTGAATTTGTCTTCCGAATCCAAACATAATTATAGGGAAAGCAAGCAAAAAGTTATATTTCAGATTTCGGGCAAAATCTGGTGGAAACTTACTCAGCTGAAGTTTACTGGAAATTTACCCTATTCATTTTTTGTTATTTTTATTTTTTTGCATGGCTTGTGATGTGTGTATAGTTGCTTCTGATGCAGATATGGCTGAAGACAAGAATGATGATGAGACAACTAGTGAAAACAAAACCCATGACCATGAAAGGCCTGAGACAAGCTCGTCAGATCGGGGTAGAAGGCATGATAGGGGCAGGGAGAGGGACAGGGAGCAGGACCTCAAGAGAGAAAAGGAGCGAGAATTGGAGAGGTATGAGAGGGAGAGGGAAAGGGAGAGGTTAAGAAGAGAGAGGGAGAGGGAGCAGAGGATCCGTGAGGCTGAGCGTATTTATAAGGAGCGAGTGAAGGAGTGGGAGTCTCGAGAGAGAGAGAAAGAATATCAACGGCTGCATGAGAAGGAGAGAGAAAAGGAAAGGGAGCGAGAGCGTCGAAGAGAAATTAAGGATCAAGAAGAAGAGAGTGATGAGGATGATACAAGGAAGCGGAGGCATAGGAGCAGTGTTTATGAGGAGAAACGTAAAAAGAGGCAGCGAGAAAGAGACGACGATATGGCCGATAGATTGAGAGAAGAGGAGGAGATTGCAGAAGCAAAAAGGAGAGCTTTAGAAGAGCAGGATAAGACAGAGGAACCTGTCTTAGTCAATGGTAGTGAGAATCTGCAGAAGCCTGTGGAAGAAAACAACATCAAGGTCAGAGGAAATTCTGCTGAGCCTGCTGAAGAGAACAGCTTGGGGGATGAAAATCGCACGGGTATGTAGTCTATGCTTCAATCTTTATACGTTTTTCTTATTCTTAAACTTGGTATTTTCCTCCTTTTTTTTTTTTTTTTGAGAAGTGTAACTCTTTAAGCAAATAAAAACTTATTTGAATTAGAGTGTTAGTTTATACTATAAATATGTGTGTGAGCAGTTCATTGCAAAATAAGAGATGCACTATTTAACATTTCACGTATTTCTTCCCCCCTCCCCCCCATAATTTCAAGAAGCCCTCAAAGGACATGCCATAATGGATTGATAATGAATTAGAAACTTTTGGAGGGGTAGTGTTATAAGTTTTCCTCACCTTCAAAGCAGTAGTACTTTCTAGAAAACTGCCTCTTTGAGGTATTTCTGAATATCAATATCTCACTCTAAACACCCTATAAGATATTACGATTCTCTAACATCATACTATCCTTGAGCAACTTACCATGCTATTGGTATTTTCAGTACTGATATCTTAAGTAGTCAATCCTTTGAGTATTGGTGGTTTCTATCCAAACTCTGTGTTTTGATAAGCATAGATCAAAACGACCCATTAGAGATTCTCAAGAGAGCTAAATTATCAATGATCTTTGAACAAATTTCCTCGTGAATATTTCATGAGAATGAAATATATATATTTTTTGGTGACTAACTTTTTTCAATTATAATTATTGTCTTAAACTATTTTTTGTTTCCTAGGGGATGTGGCTCCGAGGAACGGAAATGTAAGTTTCTCCGGTGATGAACCGATTGTGGATTCCTCTAGTGCTTCAGATACAAGGCAGAATAGCATTGCTCCTACTCGAAAACTAGGGTTTGGGCTCATGGGTTCTGGTAAAAGGACGTTCGTTCCTTCTGTTTTCCATGAGGATGATGATGAGGAAACCCATAAGGAGAAGAAGATGAGGCCTTTAGTGCCCATTGACTACTCTACTGAGGAATTGGAGGCTGGTCAAGCATCAATGACATCAGGGCCATCCCCAAATTTGGCAGCCGCTGCTGAATTTGCTAAGAAAATCTCTAATGTAACCCCAAAAGAAGAGAGAGTAGACTATGAGAAGGACAGGACTCGACGTTCCAGTGATAGGTCAGGTCAGAGAGACAGGGAGCGAAATGAAGATGAGAGTAAGGAGAGGTCGCGTGACCGGGAAAATGGTCTTGACAAGCCGAAGCCAATTGAAAACCAGAAGCTATTGGATGCGAAGCAATTGATAGATATGATCCCTAAGACTAAAGAGGAGCTGTTCTCTTACGACATCAACTGGGAGGTTTATGACAAGGTGAGACTGCAGGTCTCTTTTATGCATGTCTGCTTGCATGTTTTTGTGTGTTAAAAAAGGGGGGGGGGGGGTTGGGTTATATGACATTGCACGTGTGTGTGTGTGAGAGAGAGAGGAGAGATTGTATATGGTTATATACATGGTGGTGGTGCTTTTTCGTTTGTAATGTTTTATGTGCTGGTGTAATGTGTTATGTGATGGTGTAGCACGAGCTGCATCACAGAATGAGGCCATGGATCTCAAAGAAGATCACCGAGTTTCTTGGGGAAGAAGAAGCCACTTTGGTAGACTTTATTGTTTCAAGTACCAGGGACCACGTGAAGGCATCCCAAATGCTGGAGCTGCTTCAAGCCATCTTGGATGATGAGGCTGAGATGTTTGTACTAAAGATGTGGAGAATGCTCATATTTGAAATCAAGAAGGTTGAAACTGGCCTCTCCATGAAGACAAAGGCCTGAATTAGATACGAATATATGTTCCTTACCCAGCCTAACTCCATTGAGAAAGCCAAGACACCTTACCTGTAATTTCTTGCCACAAAATGAGGTAAACCAAGAAAAGCCTATGGCGAAAGTGTTCCTTGAATCAACAGTATGCTTTGGGGAAGGCTTCTCTTTTTTCTTTCCCCACTTTCCTTGTAAATTTAGATGCAAGAGAACCTCTTCCCTCTTGGTCTATCTTGCAGCACCAGCACATATGATGGAGAAGAAGTGAGGTGACTGGTCTACTCGAGTCTCGGAACAAAATGTATGTTTTGGAATTTTGAGTTATCCTACGAATGAGCAAAACATCAATAAGTACCTTCCTATTTTACAGTTGTGATAATGGAAATTGTAATTCATTTTGTTTTAATTGGATCCATGGTTTTTGTTTGGTGATTTGTTTGTTTTGTTTCGACAAATGTGATTTTGTATGGTAATAAGAATTAGATTACTGCAAGTTGTGCTCAGAGGCTTCATGCACGTAAGAGCCATCTCTATCTGCACTAGGCGGATGTCCTGTCCTTGAAGCCCAAAAAGGTCAAATGTTCAGTTTTGAAGATGGTTCTTGAACCATAAAGCCCAAAAAGGTCAAATGTTCAGTTTTGATGATGGTTCTTGGTTCTTGAAAAATAAGTATCCCTTTTGGAAATGATCATAGATGCGGGAATCTCGCTTTGATGATCCAAGAGCTAGAGCAGCATGCATGGAACTCGCTCCTTCCATTGAGGAAGCTCAATCTCTCGGGACCAAAATTGACCAAAAGGGATCTCGAATGTTCTCGAAGGGGATTGTAGCCTAGCTATAAATGGGGTGTAATCATAGTTTGAAAGGATCTTGATCCTAGGGAAAATTTCAAAGTTCCTTAAGTTTTAGTATTGGTGTCTTTGATTTGTGGTTATTTTTTTAATTTTTTAGCCGGTAACTGCCTGAAGAAGATTTCTATTTCCGTCTTCATGGCATGATTTGCATAAGTGGTTGGTGTCTTTGATTTGTGGTTATTTTATTATTTTTTTAGCCGGTAACTGCCTGCTGAAGATTTCTATTTCCGTTTTCATCGCATGATTTGCCGTAGTGGTCGAAAATCGGTGTGCAAGCTTTGAATCATTGTTTGCAAAATCGCCTGATCTAAATGTTAACTGCCCGGTTAGATCGGAACTGACCAGTGGACGGTTTCGGTTTTGGGCAGTAAGGGTGATCAACTGGTATTTTTTTTTAGATATATATATATATATATATAAATTCTCAAATAAGGAATTTGATTTGTTATGCATTTTTAAATATTCTTTACATAATGATAAGATTAAAAATTGTTTTACTCATTAATACTCACTTTTATATTTTTTTCATCTTTTTTATAAAATTTAAGAAATAGCCCTTGGAAAATATAAAATGGTTAAAATTCATTTTTTTTTATTAATTTTCAACTTTATTTGAATGTGTTTTGTTTTAATTATTTTTTATATGTTTTTCGTATTGTAGTAGATTTTTTTTGTATTTTTTTAAATAAATTTTCAACACTTTTTTACCGTTCAGAACTTGTCCGATTAGAACGGTTGAATCGGCCGATTTACCGGTTAGACCGGTTTACCGGTTAAGCCGGTTAAATCATTTCCAGGCCCATGTTCGGTTAATTGCTCCGGTTCGATTTTGGGAACACTGCTTTGAATAGCCCGAGTCGGCTGGAAACTAGGGGCTCAGTGATTGTTGATAGTCCCAAAGAGGGGAGTTGTCAAGGTTGTCGAACTTGGTGGCTATCACAATCGCACCATAGCGAATCGCCCTGTCTTGTTCAGTTAGGGATCTAGGCGAAGTTCGGTTCTTATCATGACCTTCCAATCTCTTGTTTTGTTTGGTTTTTGTTTTTGTTTTTGTTTAGGGAAGAAACTCTTTTGAAAATAAAAAACTACAAGTTTTTTTTTAAAAACTTGGAGTTCTAAACATATTTAAATAAGGGATTGTATATAATGAGACCATTTACCTTTATACATGCAAGTCACAATTACTTAGAGGAAAAAGTTTATAAAAGGATACCGCCTTTTAATGTACCTACGGATGCCCCTTAAAAATCCATTGAAAAAAGGTAGTTTTAATGTTGAAAAACCTTTTGATTGATCATCTCGACATCAAGATGTATGACTATGAAAAATAAAAAGATTTTAAGTTTCAGAAATAATGCATTTTACAACATATTATCTACACCGTCTATTTTCAAGATTTTCATATGTTTATAGATCTACTTGATTTTAACCATTTTTAAAATTTAAAATTTTATAATTAAATATAAAAATAGATTTTGAGATAATCTTAATAACATTTTACATCAAAATTATATACCATGATAAAATTTGAAGGGCGCCTTACCTCTACACCTCCAGAGGCGTCCGTAAGCCAATTGCACCCTTACTTATAACCATCCAATGGGAAATCTGATAGGTTGGATGTGTCCCAAAATTCAAGAAAAGGAAAAAGTTTATATAAGGTTGCAACCTTATATGTAGAACTACGGATGCACCTCAAAAATTCATCGGAAAAGGTGGTTTTAATGTTGAAAAACCCTTTGATTGATCATCTTGACATCGAGATGTTTGATCATAAAAAATAAAAAGATTTTAAGTTTCAGAAATAGTGTATTTTACAAC